TCCACCGCCACCGCCGCCGTCACCACCAATCTCCTCTCCAACAAGAGGACATTCACCCCCTACGGCTCCGCCGCCACCCTCTTCGTTCAAATGGGCGCGTACCGCGGCGCCGTCGCCACCTTCTCCGTCGTCGGCCTCGCCTCGAAGCCCACTCACCTCTTCTCCGATGCCGAGCAATCTTTGTGTTGATGGTCTGAAGAGGGATTACTCAAGGTGAGAAAAACTTTGATTTTTCTGATCAATTTTTTGAAGTTGTTTAGATCTGCATAATATGTCACATTTTTGCAACATTTGATCAAATCTGAAATTGTTTTTTTTTTTGGTCTCTATAGATTTAGTAGCCTCTTGTATATGGGCAAATTAAAATAGGACAAGCACCAAATAGGATCCTCGCAATCATAACAGCAAAGGAATTTCCATGGATTTATGGACGCCTACATTTTTTAATTAAGTATGTTTGTGGAAGATCCCTGTGAGCCATGTGGCCACGCAATCCTAGAGATTATGTGACCCTGAATGGTACTAGCATATATTTGATTAATAGATACCCTGAAGGAAAATTGATGCTTCAGTTTAAGTTATTGGTTTAACAAATACTTTATACATACATGTATATAGACTTATTAAGTTATTACAGAGTTGTCTCTCACAATTGCCAACATTTGTGGAGGAAGATAACATTTGTGGCAGGTCCAGAAACATAAAAAAGACTATCCAGAAAACATATGCAACATATAGGGTGTAGAGAGTGCAAGAGAATCAAATAATACTAGGTTTGCGAATCAACAAGAGGTAATTTTTGTTACACAGAAAACTTTGAGTACCTAATTACTTGTTTAGTTAACAAAATACATAATTATAACAAGAAATATAACACATCATATAAGTGCTCGTGTGTGTAGCTAAAAGAAGTGCTCACAGTTTATTACCTCAATTTGTCGATGCTGCTCTTTGCATGCTCGAAAAACAGCTTCATTCACAATATCACTGTACAAGAAAGATAATGAATAAGGTAGGCACATGGTTGGGCAGAAAAATCAGAAAGCAATACTTCAGTACCTAGAATGAAGTTTTTGAAGGAGAGAAGGAAGATCACGAGGTTGCTGATCAAGAACATGACATGGCCATGTTTCAGGACCAGCTGAAGGCAACGAAGTCTGAATTCCTTGAGAAGGTGTTCCATTCATGCCATCACCATAGTGTTTATCCTCCAGTCTTCCTTGTGGAAAGTCAGTTAATTCTATATCAACTTGAACATCAAGCCAGGACTTTGCCATTGCCCAACATATTAGAGGGTTTGCTTCAATTTGAGAAGAGGAAGATTATGTTGTTCAAGAGAGGAACTTTGATATCTCTTTTGGTTGTAATAGTTTTTTATTGTGTATTTTTTTCCTTTTTATGTATGAGGAAATGTGATGTTTAAAAGCAAATTGTATGAATTATTGAATTAATTGATAAGAAGCATTGAGCTCAATCACATTTGGGTTGTTTTGTGCATGGTTGTTTGGTTTGTTGTTTCCATGTTGATGATTCATGTTCAGTTGTGTGCTTGCCTTGGTTGCAGCCTCTTGTTGCTTGGCCCTTGGAGCTCAGTTGTTGTGTTGGCCTTTGGTTGGCCTTTGGTTGGCCTTTGGTGAGTCTGAATTTGTATTTCAGTTGTGTGCTTGCTGATACTCTGTAGTATTGGCCCTTGGACTTCAGTTGTGTGCTTACTTCTCTTAATTTTTAGCATTTTTTGGTTGCGTGTAGTCAATAATTCAGTTGTGATGTGTTGGTGCAGCCAATGATTCAGTTGTGTGTTTACTCTGTAATAATTTTTAGCAAGTTTTAGTCCTTGTTTGGCCATTGGTTTCATTTCTGAATTTCATCCCCTTGCTCTCGGCCTTGGTATATCCAGCTTCTGCGAGTGCTTAATGAGCGCGCCCTCGACATGCTAAGCAAGAATGATTGTCCCATTTGTTTAGCAATTTCAGGCATATCCAGCTTCTTGTTTGGAAGAAGTCCAAAGTGAACAAACATAAATCGTTAGTATGGAAGAAAGTGTCAATTGGCCAGTCATTCATCAAACAATGGTTAATTGGTTACCCAACATAGAATCAACCTACCTGCAATTTTTGTTGTCACTAGTATAGAAGAATGTGTCACAAAGATGAGGAGCCAAAGTGAAGGGATAGTACTCAATACACATAACACATATTTCTCCATCCAATTTACATAACAAGAAACATCATACACAATTAAAAAAATTAGAAAAATGGCAACATAAGAGCATTAGGAGTTCAACATAAGAGCATTAGGAGTTCAACATAATCTACTCCCTTTACATCACAAGGGCATGTTTCTTTTCTTTATTCCTTACAAAAACACAACGGAATCCAAATTATGTACATAATCTACTCTCAAAATTCAAGGGTCATACAAATCACATAAGTTACTCTCAAAATTCAGGCACAACACAGCCATAAAACTTACTAGAATTATAAATAAAATGCTAAAATAAGGAGACGTTTGCTACCCGAACTCTCTTTCTTCTCGATTCTAGCACCTGCAATTGCTCTTCTATGCAAAAGAGCTCTAGGCGACCTTTACATTATTGTTGGTCATCAATCAAAATTCATCTCTTCACACCAATTAATCAAAGATGAACAAATAGAAACAAGAGAGGTAGACTAAGTCGGTTCTAAAAAAAACAACAAAAAGAGAGAGGTAGACTAAGGTGGTTCTTTCTATACTCGACATAATTTGTTGTTAAGAAATAGTTTTTTTAATCTAAAGACAGCAGATTATAGGAGAAATGAGAGATTTGAGGTTTATTTGTGGGTAAAGTTTTTGTTTTGGGTCAAAATTGTTAAAGGGTTTGAAGAGGTTGTGCATGATTAGATCTTACATAATACTAGAACATATGGTTATTTATTGAAGTGCAGAATAGTGATCAAAATTTTAATAGTTAACCCCTTAGGGACTTGATGAAACATCCTCAGGCACTTACTTGTTTCTAACACAAAATTTGACCCCGAGCTATATATGCTATAATCCTAAGTTATGTTAACAAAAGTAACTAATTAAAATCCTGTTAACTAGCAAATGAAGAATATCAGTAAGGAATAGTAAAGACATTATTATTCAACTTGATAGAAACAAATTAATTTGCCCATATACAAGAGGCTACTAAATCCATAGAGACCAAAAAAACAATTTCAGATTTGATCAAATGTTGCAAAAATGTGACATATCATGCAGATCTAAACAACTTCAAAAAAATTGATCAGAAAAATCGAAGTTTTTCTCACCTTGAGTAATCCCTCTTCAGACCATCAATACAAAGCTTGCTCGGCATCGGAGAAGACGTGGGTGGGCTTCGAGGCGAGGTCGACGACGGAGAAGGTGGCGACGGCACCGCGGTACGCGCCCATTTGGACGAAGAGGGCGGCGGCGGAGCCGTAGGGGGTGAATGTCCTCTTGTTGGAGAGGAGATTGGTGGTGACGGTTGCGCTGGTGGTGGAGTTGGGGTAGGAGGAGGAGGAGGAGGAGGGATTAAGGAGGGAAGGGTAGGGTTGGAATTGGTAGATGGCCATGACTAGGGTTAGGAGAATTAGGGTTGCGATGAAGGGTCTAAGATCAAGCAAGCTTGCAAATGGGAAGAGGGAGGGAGGAAGGGGGATCAGAGCTGCTGCTCCATCTTTCCTCGTTATGAAGCTTTCTCTCTCTTCTTCACTCTCTCTACGGAAATAGGGGTCACGAGAAAGATCCAACGGCCACATTTGTTCACGTAAATCGAATGGCCATATTTCGTTTTCGCACGTTGCTGTGCGAAAAAAACCCAACCCAATTGGGCTTAGGTCATTAAGTATAGAGATACTCCTTGGGCTTAATTACTCAGTCAACTTAGGCTTTATAAGATAGAATCACCTTGAATTTAAGAGGGTTTTTTTTTGTGCCCATTTTTCGCACTCTTCTTTTATAAGGTTAGTTTTTTTTAATATATATATATGTGTAAGTATATATAGTCTTAAAAAATGTTAAATAAATCAAGATAACTTGAAAAAAATATTTTTAACTCTAAGTTAAGCATGCAAAAATTTTATTATTTTTAATTAAAAATCTAAGGTAAGACTTAAGTAAAGTATACTAGTTGAAAAATTATTTCTTAAGAATTTTATTTGGAGTTATCATAAAAGGTGAACTTGAATATGTCACTGACTAAGAATTAAAAAAATTAAAATCTATCAATTTGATCAATTATTACTTAACTCTATTAATTTGGTAAGTGACAATATTTTTATAAATTTTTTTAACAAAAAGAAAAAAAGAAAAAAAAAATGCAACTAAAAAGGTAAAATAAAGAGGAAAATATGTACTTCTCACCCCCACACCTAAATTTTGCATTGTCCTCAATGCAAATTCACTGAAGCACAAAGTAAAGCAGATAAAATTAAAGAACTTACATTTGTTCGGTTGACAATGATGATATGGATCTGCAATTACTGTTAGTATGAGGATGAAGAAATCAAATAAGAGGAAATTTTTTTTTTAAAGCCTATGTTACTATGTTACTTATTCAAATTTTTGTTGTTGTTATTGTTGTTGTTTTTTAGGGAAAAAATTAGTAGTTTTTTTTTTACAGATAATGAGGTTCATGAAGAACCAACACCTCTTCCTCTCCGAGCGTAGAAGATTCTAAAAATGGTTTTAGACGTTGACCATTTATTTTAAAAATGTTACCATTTTTAGGATTTTCTATCTCTTTTAAAAATGTTACCATTTTTAGGATTTTCTATCTCGACAGCTCCATGTGAAAAAACCTGTTTGACAAAAAATGGACCTGTCCATCTTGATCTTAGTTTTCCAGGAAAAAGATACAATTTTGAATTGTACAATAAAATTTTCTGTCCTGTAGAGAAATTTTTTTCGCAAAATTGATTTGTCATGAAATATCTTTGTTTTTTCTTTGTAAATTTTTGAGTTTATGTATGCATCATTCCGAATTTCTTCTAACTCATTTATTTGAAGCAACATGTTCTTACCTGCTGAGTCTGAATCAAAATTTAACTGTTTTATTGCCCACATTGCTCGATATTCCAACTCTTCTGGTAGGTGACAAGCTTTCTCGAATACCAGTCGGTATGGTGATATCCCCAAATTGGCCTTAAAAGCTGTTCTAAATGCCCACAGAGCATCACACAATTTTACAGACCAATCTTTTCTGTTATGATTAACTGTTTTTTCTAAGATTTTTTTGATCTGCCTGTTTGTAACCTCTACTTGTCCACTGGTTTGGGGGTGATAAGGAGTTGACAATTTGTGTGTGATTGAATATTTCCTCATCAAAGCCTCGAAAGAACGGTTACAAAAATGTGTACCGTTATCACTGATGATCGCTCGAGGTACTCCAAACCGGGCAAAAATGTTCTCTTTCAAAAACTTGACAACGACCTTATTGTCATTAGTTTTGCAAGCTACCGCCTCAACCCATTTTAACATGTATTCAACTGCTACTAGAATGTAAACATTTCCAAAGGAATTTGGAAATGGTCCCATGAAATCGATACCCCACAAATCAAAAAGTTCAACGGATAAGATGGGTTGTAGGGGCATCATATTTCTTCTAGTGACCTTTCCTAAAAGCTGACAGCGGTTACATGTTTTGCAAAACTCGAATGAATCCTTGAAGAGAGTGGGCCAATACAGCCCATATTGGAGAACTTTTTCAGCTGTTTTTCTCAGGCCAAAGTGGCCCCCACAGGCTTACTCATGACAAAAGGATAGAACACTCCTAGTTTCTTCAGTGGGAACACACCTCCTAAAGATCTGATCAGGACAGTATTTGAACAGATATGGATCATCCGAGTAAAAATATTTTACTTGGGAGAGAAAACGGGATCTATCCTGTTTGGACCAATAAGAAGGGATCTGGTTCATGACTATGTAGTTCACAATGTCGGCGAACCAGGGAACAGACTGGATTTCTAGGAGTTGTTCATCTGGGAAATGTTCATTGATCGGAACGGTTGATGCTGGTGCATTTGGGAGTCGAGAGAGGTGATCTGCTACGGGGTTCTTTGTTCCCCTTCTGTCAAGAATTTGAATGTCAAACTCTTGAAGAAGTAGAATCCATCTAATGAGCCGTGCTTTAGCATCCTTTTTGGTCAAAAGATACTTTAGTGCGGCATGATCTGTGAAAACTTTGGTTAAGGAACCGATGAGGTAGGACCTGAATTTTTCTAAGGCAAAGACTACAGCTAAAAACTCTTTCTCTATGACAGAGCAGTTTTGTTGGGCATCATTCAGAGTCCTACTGGCGTAGTAGATCACATGCGGTTTTCCATCAAATCGTTGTCCTAAAACAGCACCGATCGCAGAATCAGATGCATCACACATCAGTTCGAAGGGTAAGGTCCAGTCTGGTGCATGAATGATAGGAGCTGTGGTTAGCTCCTTTTTCAGATATT